GCATCACTTTAAAATACCATGCCACTCCCTTCTGGCCTATAGAGTTTCTGCTGAAAAATCAGCTGATAACCTTATGGGAGATCCCTTGTATGTTATTCATTGCTTTTCTTTTGCTAATTTTAATATTTTCTCCTTATCTTTAGTTACTGTCAATTTGATGACTATGTGCCTTGGTGTATTCCTCTTTGGGCTGATTCTGTGTGGTACTCTCTGTGCTTCCAGGACTTGATGACTATTTCCTTTCCCAAGTTGGGGAAGTTTTCAGGTATTATCTTCCCAAAAAATTTTTGAATGGTGCATAAATAAAAAGGAGAAGAAATTGGGATAACCTTTTTGGAGGATAAGTTGGCTGGCAATATTAATAAAAAATACCTAGAAAGCATAATGATGGTGGGCTGTATGCCTTATGGCTTAGCACTTCCATTTCTAATAATTTATTCTAAGGAAACCATTAGACAAATATACACATAAATATATTTTAAGAAAATGTCTTCGTTGCAAGATTGTTTATCACAGCCTAAGACAGGAAACCACCCATGTTTATAAGGAGATTTGTTAGGTACCTTGTATCAAAAGTGAAATACTGAGCAGTCATTAATTGGTTTCATTAGAGAGCACGTTGACATGGAATGGTGGCATTATTATGTAGAAGAGTCAGAATGCTGTTGTTTTTGTAAAAACAAACATAAACATGTCTGAAGGATATGTACATAATTGTCTCTGGGTGATGACTTTTTTTTGCTTATTTGTATTTTCTAATTTTTCAACAATAAATGCTTATTGTATAATAAAAGTTTTAAAAAGTTCACAAAGAATAAAATTCAATAGACGTTTGAATGCTACTGTTTGAAGAAAGTGGTAGTGTTCAAAAGGGGGGAGAGTAACAAGTAATGTTTTCCAGAGAACTCTGTGAATGTAGATGGGAGTTAACAGACCCTGAGTGAGAAATAGAATTTGCATTGACAGGAAAAAAATTGCATGTGAGGAGAACCATAGTTGACAAACCAGTAGAGAATGGGGTAAAGTCACCTATATCTTGGTCCCACTGGTAGCAAAGAATAGCTTCACGTTGTCTGCAATCGGTCCATGATTTCTGGAGTGCCTCGGCCCCAGCCCTAGCCCCTTGGCTTCTGCCATTTGCAGGTTCTTGGAGTGCCCCAGGGGAGATTGGAGATTAGACTCTAAGCAGAGATTTGCTGCCCCTATGTCTATGGGGCAAACTTTGGTGTTTTGTAAGGAATACTGAAAAATCTTTGACATCATCCAGGCAGGAAAGACAGCCAAACTTATTACAGACTTATTAGCACTTACTCCTCTGAGGTGGAAGTGTTCCTGTACATGGTCATGCACTCAGCTGAATATGTTTTCTCCTTGGTGGATCTTTATCTGTCCCCCTTCTCAGCAGCTACCTGCCTAACTTACTCTACTCCCTGAACTGATTTTTCCCCTATAGGTTTGACTGCAAACCCATTGTGTATTGAAAATCAGTAGACCTGTGAGGCATTCCATATGAGATTAGCGTCTACTTCGTAGAAGTTTGTTTTGTCTTTTTGAAGAGGATCACCTTCCGTACTGTCTCCTGTTTTTGTAGGGTAGTAGCTTTCTGTGCTTCCATTTCCTGATTAGCAAAATGGAATATCACTAGAGTTCCTTCTTGCACTCATATTCTTAATTTATGAAACACCTAAATACGGTTAATTACCATATGTTAGATCTATATTCACTGAAGGATGACCTAAAACATTGTTGAGAGAAATATCCATTCCTTGCATCCACTTGATGGGTTGGACGGATGGGCCCTCTTAGGGTTGCGTTCGGATTTCTTTGGGCGCTCTGGCAAGGGAACGAAGCTTGTGTGGACATATCTAGGAAATAGCAGGTTGTTCTCAAACAACTGAAAGTGTGGGCTGGTGACAATTTCAGGCTTCTTGAGAGGTTTCTACCAGCCCCTTTCCTCTGCCCCTCCCCAGATATTGAGGCTTGTTCTGTTTCTGAAGGAAAATCTGATTATTTCCAGGTTTTGTGTCTTAATCATGTTCAGATAGTTTTTTAACCATTCAGAGCACACCCTTCCTGCCCTGGGTAAATAAAAGTATCGGGACGAAAGGCAAATCCTTCCCCCCCTCCCTACCCCAGTAGAGCCCGGAACTCACTGGGTACTGTGAACTAGAGATGGTTGAACTATCACTGGAGTGAGGTAGGACAAGGATGAGAGGGAGAGGAGAGAGGCCGGGTTTGAGCCAGCAGCTGCGGACTGGGAGAGCTGGGATGAGAGAATCTGCAAGGGAAACAGGGCTTGTAAGAGCAGCAGGAAGCCTCGGTTGGGGGTTGGAAGGGACGTGGAGGTGGTGGGAGGTGGGGCTGGAGTTGGGCCATCTCTGATTTCAGAGTCGCCACTCATGTGATGGAGTGAGTGTGTCAGAGAAGTAAGTGTCCTTGCTGGGTTCTGATGAGGTCCATTAGGTGCAGTCCAGGCTTGGGGGAGGGGAGAACTAAGGAATGGGCCATATTTATTGGAGACTTTTAAATGATTTCTGTGACTTTATTTCACAGTTCTATGAAT